ATTGTCGTGCATTATTATGGTAAAGCATCAAATCCCAAATATGAATAGGACAATAAGACTGCGCTTAAATTTCAATGATGGATATAAATGGTAAAAAGAATAAATCGAAATTAGATAAATAGACGAAATGTCCTATGGTGAAAAATAAAAAGATAAAAAAACAAATTTTATTTCTATCTTTATATACATTTTGTTAAAAGCTTTATCGAATCATCATATAGTTGTTTTTTTACTCCGTGGAAAGGTTGTTAAATTAAGCTCGGAACCAATTTAAAAAATGAAATCGATTTTAAAGATCTTTTCGTGTCTTTTGATTGTACTTGTTATCCAAGATACATATGTTTCCGGGATTGGTATGATTTTATTATTTTTATTATTACCATTTAGCATAAAAAGTTAACAAAGTTTTATAGCCATTAGACGTTCACCTGAACCCGTCGCCGAGCTCGTAAAGCGTGCACCCGAACCTGTAGCTGAGCATGAAAAACGTGCACCCGTCTATGATCAATTTGATTACTCTGGTTCTTATCTAACGGCACCACCAGCATACAAACATTAAACTATAAAAAGATTTATATTTTGCATTAAAATATTTTTGTGTTTATAATTAACATGTATTTATTATTAAATATTTAGCTAAGACAAATTTAATAACATGACATCAACTAAATTGAGATAATCAATTATTTTCACAAAAAATAAATATCTTTATATTCAGAATCAAATTAAATAAATTAATATTATTGGAATTAAAATTTATTTAATAGTATTAAATTTATTATGAAAGCAGAATAGAACAATATCGAGCATTAATAGGTTAAATGCTAATAATTAGAAAGGTTCATTAGGTATTATTCAATATATTTGGTTTACTAAAATTTTAATAAATTGTTGCAACAAAACAAATTGCTATAGAAAATTTTCAATATAAGATTGGTATGTGTACACTTTTTATAGAAAGGATGTATAACTAGTCGCTTTTCTAGATAAAAATAACTAACTCAACTTTTACAGAAAGGGAATGATTTCTGGAGAATTTGAAGTTATCATTAAATCATTTAACCGGCTGCAAGCAAAATCGTATGTTGGATATTTTAGGAAAACTGGAGTTCCGCCTAAAGGTTTTCCACGTCAGGCGATGGATGTATATTTTTTCGTATATTTCCGTGTATTTTACAAACATGTAAATGCATGCAATGCCCAAATTAAATAGAAAGTTATAAGTCAATCTCATAAGAATAAGAAGAAACTTGAATCAATAAGAATTAAGAAGAAAGTTGAGAGTGTTAATAGCAAAGGATTTCTTTATCAAATTTTATGAAAACTTACGTAATTTGTTACAATAGGATAGACAATCATAACTTTTTCAATTATCGCTATCATACCCTTATCGTTAATACATGTACATGTATAGATTTTCATCTATCGATAATTAATTTGTACAATAAAAAAAAGATTCAGATGATAACTTTTTTTAGTAATATCCAAATATAGTATTGAGCTTGCCATAACGATAAATCCTCTATAATAATATCCAAATATAGTATTGATATGATCCAGCTTGTCATAATAATCCTTTTCATATTTGGAAACTTTCAATGAATATCAGTAAAAAAATAGTCGTATTGAATAAACTAAATTATAGTACATGTAAAACAAGTGTTTTCTGATAAATGAACGAAGACTAACAAATATTTTTATCAGTAAAAACTTGCAAAACCTAAAAGATAAAAATGAAGCCTGTTTTAAAGATCTTTTATGTCTTTTGGTGGTGCTTGTGATGTTTATGTTGCCGGAGAAGGTACATGCTTTGTTATTATTATTTAAATAACAAAATGTGTACAACTTTGAAATTTATAAATATTTTTATAGCCGGAATATTATGCAATCCCATACTCAAACTCAAACCCGTGAGAGAACGTGATGCTGCACCCGCAATGCAACTTTCAGTCAAAAAGTAATGTAAAGCGTAGCAAGGTACCTAAAGAAAGAGAGTAGCGCCGAACTACGAGCTAAAAAAACAGTCATTGCTGCAAAACCTTCTCGGAATTTGTGAAACTTTTATATTAAATTCACATATTTTTTGTGATTAATGAGATAATGTAAAACGTTTTATCATATTTATATAAATAAATTAAATTTAAAGTATCTATATCAATATTTCACTTGAGATAAATTTTTGTGAATTTCCTTCTTAGAATTCTTTCTTTTTAAATGATTGAACCATTTTGTCCTTATGAATTTGAATGATTCTCTTAACGCGTCAGAAAATGTGACTTATAGCTTTGAAATTAGAAAAAAATTATCTCGAATTCTTGCTTTATAAAGCATAAAATTTGCGTTAATGGCATGATCGTACTGAAAATCGATTAACGGTAGCAATAGTTTAATTAATTACTAGCCATCAAAAGTATTGGATATTAATAGCTTCTGATTAACGATCTTATATAAATACATGAAATAACAGTCTACAAACTTCAACTGTGTACAGGTATCACCCTCCGTGATTTAGATTCCGAAACTTTTCACTATCGCTATTTATTTTTAATTTGAATAATATCCGGATCTTGTTCATATTCATGTATATTTTAAATGTTGATAACAATATCCATGTACATGTTAGTTGCAAGTATCAAATATCTTTATTTAGATATTTCTATAGTTAGTTCTACACGTAGTACAACGGTTACTATGTAATATAAGTTCCCTGGATACTATAAAGTGCTAAACGATATCACGATGAGACGAAATCATGAACAATCCAAAAGAGGGTTGCTTAACAAAGAGTGACGGGGTTAAAAGAAACCATTCATGCAGTCTCGAAAGTATTTTCGTTCCTGATTAATTCAAACAGTAATTTATTCATCTTCATCGGCTAATGGACGAACTTTTCTTTGCATCTTCCAAAAATCGGAAACTCTCGAGTTTGACGGGGAAATAGTAATTTTTGTGTCGATGAAACTTGTTGCAAATTAATGGAGTAAATGAATTCTAAATATTTTTATCTGTGTGCTATATGACGATTTCAAAATCGATGGTTCTTGAATAACCCTATCAACTATTACTATATGAGAAATACGCTGATAAATTAATGTTTGTAAAACGTACATGTTTGGTAAAAGTCTTGTCTACATTTTCATGCATGTAACTCATGTTCTATTTTTTAAAAGCTACGCTTATTATACAAGTAAAAATTAAAGTTCGTTATAACCAGCTTTAAGTTCTCTATATTCAATATTGTTGTATCGCGATAAAAAACTTTACAGGTATATTTTTCTTATAAGGTAAATGTGATAGCAAACGAACACCAATAGTACATTGATAAATTCAATTTTGGTTCTGTTCTAGCTTGTATATATACATATTAACGCCAACTGACAGCGGGTAGCAAGCAATAGACAGTAGAATTATAATAATCGTCATGAAAGTAAATACAATAATTTCCAAAGGGAAATTTAAAGAATAATCAAATAAATAAGTTAAATTTACCACTACTTGGACTAGGCCCAAGCTGATGACTTTATTTTTTTCGTCTTTACTCTATTCTTTTTTGAATTTCAGTCTGTATGCGCTTTTTTTGATTATTCTGCTTATAAAATATTATCAAATACAGTTAGACCTCTCTATAGTCACACCTCTTTATAGTCACCTTTTTTGAATTTCCAGTTACTAATTAACTATAATTAAAAAAAACCTCTCTATAGTTACATCTCTCTTTAGTCACCCAATTTTGCTTTCCTAACTATAGAGAGATCTGACTGTACAACATTGCAACATACGGCACATGTATAAATTATTAGGTACGTAGTAATTTAGAGTTTACAAAAAAATACATGTACATATAATTTTTATGCATGCACATTATCGGTTCTTATTGTAAATGGCAAAATTGGACTTTACACATGTATACATGTACATACTAGAACTAGAGTGCCCGGTTTACTGTATTTCTGCGCAATAATTTACTGCAAGTTCTGCAAACCGAAAAACGGCCAGATATTTATTTTGTTTAAATTGGACTGTTGAACGAAAGTATCGTGTCCCAAGGTTACCAAACTTTTTAATTTTTTTAAAATTTTGATCATCCAGTTTTTTTAAAAATCTTATGACAATACATGTCATATATTTTAACTTCTAAAGTGTTTGCATATAATTGTTTAAAAATTTTATATAGCGCACAATGTAAATAGTATATCACATCATTATACAATTCACAAATCACATGCCATATGGATTCTGTAAAATTTGCAAAAGCTGCATTTGCAGTAAACTGGATACTTCATATGATTTTAGTTACAATATATATAAACTTAATTTATATAATAATACTAATGAACAGTAAAGATTTGAAATTAACAATTTTTTGTTATTCTATAGATTGTCTGCACTGTGCATATAATTAAGATATAGATTAATAACTTTAATAATACTATTAAAAATAATATATATTACCTATTTTAATATAGTCAATATATATTTAAATTTTAAAATATATTTATTTGAATATCAATAGCCAATCTAAATTATAATTGAAATTCTAGTTCTTTTTGTATTATAATTGAGAAAAAATTCTATTTTTGTATTAATACTTTATAAATTACATAAAATTTAAATAATTTATCAAATAACTCAAAAAAGTAAAATTTTGTAGAACAATTCATATATTATATCATATAATAAGAAATTTATCATTATAATAATTTTTTTATTTTTATTATAAATAATCTCATATATAATCTCTTAAGGCTTAATATTTCAAAATTTAATAATATAAATTTACTATTTGATTTATTTGATTTATCAGAATTAATATTAATATTTGAAATGGATCAAGTAAATATCTTGAATCTAGTCTAAATATTTGTTTATTAATCGAAAAATCTGTTTAAATATTGAAGTTTACAGTCCCTGGTGTAAGTAATAATGATGAATGTTTTTGCCTATATTTTAACAATAAAGCGTCCAAATCTCATGAAAATTTGTAAATATATTCTTTAGGATATTGTAAACAAGTTCTCTAATAGCACAAGGCATGTTAGCTTAATAAAATATTGCGGAATTTTACATCAAATGTGGTAGATTAGGTGTTTATATAAAATAACTTTGAAAAAAAGTTATTTAAAAATATTTTTAATAAGCAATTTTGAAATTATTTTTGTAAAAATATATTTTAAGATGCAAAGAATATATTTATAAGTTTAAAAAATTTTTATTACATATTTATTTAATAAATAACAGTTAAAAAAGGCTTTATTTTGATGTATTTTATAATAAATCTAATAAAAATCCATTTTTACTATATTTTACTATAATTTCTTATAAAATTCATCAAAATAAAGCCTTTTTTAATGGTATTTATTAAATAAACATGTAATAAAAATTTTTTTTAAACTTATAAATATATTCTTTATATTTTAAAATATATTTTTACAAAAATATTTTAAAATCACTTATTAAAAATATTTTTAAATAATTTTTTTTCAAAGATATTTCATGTAAACACCTAATTCACCATATTTGATGCAAAATTCTACAAAATTTTATTAAGCTAACATGTCT